AAGGAGAGAGCTCTCTAATCTTCAGTTTGTGGTTTTTTTTCAGGAGCGTGTGGGAAATTTCTTAGCCGACTTCTATCTGGTGAATGGGCTTATCTTAGAGTCCCGGAAGAGGAGGGAGCACCTCAGCGAGGAAGACATCCTGCGAAATAAAGCCATCATGGAGAGCCTGAGCAAAGGGGGGAACCTGATGGAGCAGAACTTTGAGGTAGGTGTGCGTCGGCTGTCACTGATGTAGAGGATCTTGTGTTCTAGCTGTCACTTTGTACCCTACGCATAGCAGGATTGTGAGCCAGTTTTATTTGATTGCTATAAAAGGTCAGGGAGGGATTTTTACTTGTAAAATAAACAAGATGAGGACTGAAAAGTAAAGTCATTGAAAGTAATGACAGTTGCAAGCTATCTAGGGGGTCGCCTAGATCAGAAGGTTCGCTACTTTAATGCTTGCAACTGACCAGTTTCAGTCACCGGTTTGTAGAAATTAGGGATGCTGTTAAAGCTCCGCTCCAGGCAAACCGCTAAATACACAGGTGACATACATGTAAGGGGGCCGTCTTACCTGTCAAAGGATGTGTGTATTTGCCCATTTAGTCATAAAATGTATACCGCTTTGCCACCCACACAGCTATAGAATAAATACAGAGCTTCATAAATATACCTTTTGGGTTCAACTTTAAATATTCAGCAGATCAGGTGACTAGCCAACGTGAGTGTTCTGGATTCAGCCAGAGTTATAAATGAGTCTCCCTCGGATCCCTCTTACCTGGAATATGTATGCGTGGAATAATTGGGAACAAAAATAAAACCTAGACCTCCTCAATGCAATAGTACCGGTCCCAGTGTCCCTCTAGGTGAGCTTTGTGGAGAAAGGATGGGCACAGACATCATTCATTTTTTTCCTCCTCACCTGAAGGACGCAGAAGCTTCTCTTCCATAAGCAAGTACTTGTGGTCCTTCTTACTGATTGATCCCACACACAAATGTATTTATAGGAGCTTCTGACTTCTAAAAATAGTATAGCGTGTCCCCAAACAATCAGTTTATTACTCCTGCTGCATTCAAGTCGCATTAAACTCTCCTTTTGTTTTTGCATGTATCCATTGCTAGCACTAGATAGATTCAAAAACATTTTTTTTTAAAAGTAACCAAAAAAGTCATTACTACTTCTGTTTTCCGCCGCTCGCTCCTATCTGAAGATTTGAAGCCATGTAGGAGGATGGGGCGGGCGAATGCGCAGTAGAAATCATCAGTGGGGAGAAGAGGAGAGACACAGTGGTGGCGAATGCACGCAGCCGGGAGCGTGCACGTCGGACAGACACCGGAGTCTGCGCTGGATCAGAGACCGGCACCAGCGCTGGAGGGATTGCTAAATACAAGTGGAAGGAAGATGATCGGATCAAGAGGCATCATTTAAGTTCTTAAAGCAGCATGGGGGGGGTAGAATTAGTGACTTTAACCCCTTCGTGACTGACGACGTACAGTGTACGTCGCCAGCATCGGGGCTGTTTAAACTGTGTAGTAAAGGAATCCAACCAGGTGAGACCTTTCCATAGTGGAGGACTTTATTATATAGAGATTATAACCCTGGAATCCAAGATTGATCTGAAGTTGGTGGGTTGTTCCCCCCTAAACAATTCGTTATTGGATGAGCGTCCCCCTTTGCTTCTCACAGGAGCCTTTGGTAGCGGAGTGTCATCTCAATGATTCATTTATAACACTCTTCTGTGCCCCGGTCTGTAGGAAAAGACGCAACGTATTCCGGGGATATACTATCGAGTGATTTTATGTCCTGTAAATGTATTTTTGTATTTCAGCCTGTACGGAGACAGTCGCTGCCCTCACCTCCTCCGAACACCATTAGCTGGGAAGAATACATGTCTGCAGAGAATGGAAAGTAAGTCTGGTTCCTTAACCACTTGAAGTCCGTTGTGTTGCACCCCCTTCCTGTCCCGGCCATTTTTCAGTATTCAGCGCTGCGGTACTTTGACTGACATTTATTCCGTCATGCAACGCTGTACTGAAATTAATTTCATATTATTTTTTGGGGACAGATCGAGCTTTCTTTTGGTGGTATTTATTCACCACTTTGGGGGCGGGTTATTTTTTAATAATGAAAAATTACCGAAAATGCAAAAAAGAAACGGTTTCCCTTTATATTAAATTCTAAAACATTTATTACCCAACTTTTTGGTAAAATATAAAAGATCGGGTCACGTCGGGTAAATAGACACCAAACATGTCAAGCCTTAAAATTACGTGCGTGTGCGAAGCCTCAAAAAAATACAATACCCAAAATTGGCCATAGGCGACGCTTTAAAAGCTTTTACCGCTCATCAGTTTAGTGTTATCAGTGATTGATGGCCCTAGAATTATTGCTCTCACTGCGACGTTCGCGGCGATATGTAACGTGCGGCGTAATTGTAATTTTTGCACACTGGTGCTTAGGTTTATGTGCGTTGGGACTTAAACATTTTGGGTTTTTTATGTGAATTTTTGTTTTTAATGTTTTTTTTTTTTTTTACACTTATTGTTATTGATATCACATAGAGGGATAACAATCCCCCTATATAATAGCACAGTTACACTGACAGGTCCTCTTTATGGAGACATTCGAGGTCTCTAAGACCCCTAATGTCACCTGGGGACCCCAAAAGAAGCTGATGAAGCAGAGATCTATCTGCATTTCTATCTGACCACAAATAAAAGAAAGCTTTATAAATAAAAGGAAGAGGAATGCAGAAATTACAATGTCATCGTTTTGGATTCATGAACGTTACTTCTGCAGTTTCTTTCATTTCCGGGTATAACTTTCATCTCCTGTATATGATATTTTAGGGCTCCTCATCTGGGAAGAGAACTTGTCTGCAAAGAGAACAAGAAAACCTTCAAAGCCACAATCGCTGTGAGCCAAGACTTCCCCCTAGGGATCGAATCGTAAGTGTCCTCTGATTCTGGTGCCCCACATTCTATATTCCGGTTCCCATTGGTTTATTAACCCTTCCCGCCTCCATTCTGTACGTAATGAACGTCCTTCATTTGTGAGGCACCAGTGGGCACTTTACCTGGCTGGTGGCTTTCAAGTCTGTCACTAAAGGTGCCAATCGGTAGCCAGAGTGGTTCCTGATCATTGTCTTTGGCCTGGTCATCGCATGCAGGCTTAGGTGACAAATTTGGCCTTCACCATGAAGATGGCACTGCGGCCTGAAGGTAATAGTGTTGATCTGTTTTAATACTGTAATTGTTGGATACATTTTATAGGTTTAAAAAAATGGTGAAAATACGAAATATTTGATGCCTTTTGTCAGCCTAATAAAAATGGAATTCACGCAGAAGCTTTGTTAAGTCGGCTGGTGCTGCAAAACGTGACCTCTAGGAATGATTGATGTCTGGTGACAGCAGGGTTTTATTGACTACAGCAAAACAAATCTACAGCTGGAGGACATCGGGGAAAAAGTCCCAACAAGGATCTGCTGCAATTAGGTTGATTCTGCATTTCTTGATGGTCATGGTTCGTTAGCGGATCTTTGGATGAGTCATTAGACACTTCTTCAGACATGAACAGAAAATCAGATCTCCAAGAGTCTTGGGACCCATTCACACCATCTTCAGACCAGTTTCTGGACCCAAAATGCATCCTAATGTATCCCTATGCTATTTCTGGCCTCTGTTCACACCAGCGCAGTCCATTCCAGACCAGAAAAATACTGCTTGTCCTATTTTGTCTGGTCTGGAACGCACCTGTAAGACCACTTTAAGCTATAAAAAAAAAAAAATCCAATCGTGTTAAAAACGCAATGACCTGCGTTCCAGATCTGGTCCGGAAAATGGTGTGAACCTGCCCTTAGAGACCTTGGCCCTGGTCATGTGGTCATGGTGTGTGTACAGGGGTACTTTAATATTAGTGTAGAGATATCTTCACAAAGAGATGTCAGGCGATTTATTAACCTCCCTGGCGGTCTGATTTTTTTTTCCCCCGTTATTTTTACTTTTAAAATTCCCGCCGGTTCCGCCCCCTTCCAACGTGGACACTTGCAAGGGACGGAACCCGGCATCGGTCGGAGGACACTGCGCGGCTCGAGGGACAAGGAAAGGAACGCTACGCTGTATTCCAGAGTGTGGCTCGGGGTTACCGCTTATGGTACTGAAAATTAACCCCGAGCCACACTCTGGAATACCGCCAAGGAGGGTAAAGTCGACCCCAAAAAAGTGACGTTCTCGTAGTATAAGCCCGTTCTGTTTCCTCTCCCGTCATTGTAGGTGTTATTGTGCTCTTGTGCTGCAGATTTTGGGGCCTCTTATGATTACAAGTAATACTTTGATTTCTCCATCTTGCAGACTGCTGAATGTTCTAGAAGTAATCGCACCTTTCAAGCACTTTAATAAACTTCGGGAATTTGTACAGATGAAGCTTCCTCCCGGTTTCCCTGTAAAGCTCGGTGCGTAACTTTTGGTAATTTGTAACAGACGAGGGATATTAGGTGACGGCTTCTTCATAATGGTTTGGAAATTGTTCCGTAGACTTGAGAGGATACGAAGCTTATCGGCTGTTGGGGGATGGGGGGGGGGTTTGCAAAGAGTGCATTTAAACGCAATGCTAACACCTGAACGCCATCATCTGGTGGGCGTCTCCATACTTCTGGTCATGTACAGTATTGGTTTGATGGGAAGGTGTCCACTAACTTTTTTACTTCCCCAAATTCTTTAATTTTTATTTTTTTTGGTCTGCAGACATCCCTGTGTTCCCCACCATCACAGCCACTGTAACCTTTCAAGAGTTCCGCTACAGAGAGTTTGAGGATTCCATCTTTACGATACCAGAGGAGTACAAAGAGGATCCGAGCCGTTTCCCCGACTTGTAGATAGGATTTGGGGTGCAGCAGAAGACTCCATGTGGGGAAATGCGGCCGGGATTCTTTAACGAGAGGCAGAACCTGTGAGAGTATGTGTCGGGTCACAAGCAAGAACCGCCTCTGATCTCTGTGATCCATTACCTCTCGGATCGATGACCAGCTGCCCGGCCAGTCAGTGGCATTATGGGACTCTCTCTCTCTCCCACTCCCCCTCTCCCCCTTTTCTCTCCATCTCACTCCCCTCCCGCTCCCTTCTCCGCTCCGTTTAATTCCTAACTGCAGCTGCGAATCCTTCAATCGTAATCATGGACTTTTTTTGACGCACACATCTTGTATAATTCCACCTTAAATTTTTAGGGTGAACTTTTAAATCTTTTGGCTTTTTTTTTTTTTTCCTTCCATAAATTATACACCATCACCATGTAATATTCTGTATAGATTCCTGTTTGCTGGATAATATATAAATATATATAAAATATGGAAGGCGCGTCCTTCTGTAGTCTAATGAACACATCAGTGCAGACCATCACACTCACAGGGGAGGCCAGACGCCTGGCGCCGGAGTGGGTGCAGTTTTTCTGTTTTAACAAATTGACATTTTTATAATTTTTTTTTTCATTTTAAATGTAATTGATCTTTTATTGGCAGAATAATTTTTTTTTTTTTTTTCAGACATTTTTTTTAATGTCCCTTTTTTTTTTTTCCACTCTACCTGGGACGCAAGCATCACCATGAGAGGCGGAGTTCCTTTTGAGCAGCGCTTAGACTTTCATTGCTGGAAAATGTTCTATTGGTTTCAGAAGCCAGGACTGTCTCTGTTGTAGACGCAGCAGGCGATTGTTCACTTTCTGGAACGGGGTAACCGCTATCACGCAGCAGCTAGCCAAACCAGCTTTAAGGGGCTTTTTTTAAAGGTCTATAAAAAGGGACGGAACCCGCTTGTGTAATATGTCTTTGACCAGACATCCTCCTACCCGGTCTTAATATTGCAATAGTAGTCCAGATATCTGCTCGCCTGCCGTACAAGCCGGGAATATTGTGAATGCAAAAATTCCCCCAAAACTTTTTTTATTTAATTATAAAGGATCGCCTTTTATCATGAAATAATGACAAACAAGAACATGCTACTAACGGTACTGTATGTGACGGGAATTTCTTCCACGTGGTTTCCAGTAAGATCCGTGACCTTGCTGGGATGGGAATACTTTATAGTCTCTGTACATCACTCAGCGCACCCCCGTGGGGGGGGATACGAAGCGGATTTTCAGGCTCACAAGTCAGGTCTTCCAAAATGTTGCTTTTTACTGAAAGGGAACAAAGAGTCCTTTTTAAACCCCTCGCCAGCGCCGCATCCAAGGACGTCCCCATCACCGCCGAGATCTTTTTACTGGAAGATGTACTTTGTCATATTTTTGTTTTTGCTGTTTGTTTTGTAATTAGTAAATGAGATGATGATGATGACCATTTCTTGCTGGAACCACACCTAGCACTGGTTTGATTAAACTAAGATCAATCTGTTTTAATCCGCTTGTGTCTATTATTTCTCCCGCTTTGGTTAGAATCAGGGTTTTGTTTTTTTTTCATGCTGGTATATAGTACAATGCTCAAAAAAAATTAAAGGAACACTTTTTAATCAGAGTAGCATCAAGTCAATGAAACTCCGGGGGGGG